AATGTAATCTATTGCATAACTTGCACTTATTGCAAAAAGATATACATCGGCGAAACAGGCAGAAGACTAGGTGACCGATTCCGAGAACACCTTCGAGACGTGGAAAGGAATGACAAGGACACATCGAAACCAGTCGCTAGACATTTTAATTTACCTAATCATTCTAAGCAACATATGGCAATCTGCGGTCTTTCCTTGCACTTAGGTGGCACGGAAAGCCGTAAAAATCTTGAACAAAAGCTCATCTTTCAAACCGGCAGTCTAAATCCCACAGGGATCAATGAACGCTTTTCATTCCACTAATTTATTCATGTTTTTCTCGTTGCCATGCACCCACCAATAACGTAGCTCCATTTTCTGCCTTTAAAAGCACACACAACCCACAATTCCTCTATTCGCTCCGACGAAGGGCTAACGCTCGAAACGTCAGCTTTTGTAATCATTACGGTGGCCAATTTACCATTTCAACTTTGTTGATATATCCAAATTACTACGTTATAAAGAGAATGATGAACAACAGTGGAATCAAATATTTTTAAGGAGACAATGATGAGGAGAGGTGGCGCTGGTGAATTAACAAATGAAGAGAAGCGTATCTCTCTCTCCATGACTTAAAACAAGATAAAAGAAAACTCCACAAATTACATATATTGATAGATTTAAGGGTAGGATTGGGTTTCTGAAGGGTAGGCGGTTGGAGTAGGGTAATTCACTCTAAGCACTCTTTTCGGCAAAGATAATATAGGCTTTTTTTTTACTTTTGATGAATAATTCTAAGGGCATACTATAATACGTAACATAATTCATATAATTAATGGAGAAACTAGGCAAATTACTCGAAGAAAGGAAGGAAAACAAATCTTTCGCCTGATCCGTCAGTAATAAATTTTACGGTCGAGACGCCTTTGATACCGTTGTTTTAAGTAAAAGAAACCTTAAATTTATCAAACGTTCTGCAAACTGTTGCTATGCGTATCAAGAAGCCAATTATAGGTATTGTACTAAAAAGGATATTTAAGATGTCGGGTACTCTCTGTGTTACATGAAGATTCAAGACAATATAATCAGGACCGCAAAACGCAGTTAACGATATACGACAAAGCCTTGATCGATTTCACGTTTCTCTCTTATTTAATTCAGTCCCAAGTGAGTCACCAGATAATTTACACTTGGAGGAACTGCAACGGAACAGCGTCCTGATACAATGGGATCAGCTCCCATCACACCAAGCAAATGGTCAGTTACGTGGGTATACAGTGTACTTTCGGGACCACCACAATCATGATGAGAGAGATTATAAAAGGTTTAACGTTACTTTCCCGGATACCCATATTGTTCTTCATGGTTTGGATGGAGGTCGAAAGGTAGATGTGGCAGTGGCTGCGTTTACTTTTGGCTACGGGCCACGATCAGACTGGGAAACGATAAGAGTGGGTAAGTAATGGAAGAAGAGTAAGGCATTGGTAATTGTGCTGCTTTTAGTGGTATCAGCAGCCATCAGCGGTAATTTACTAATGCTAGTCAGTAGTAGTTGTACTGTGTCGCAGTAGTAGTTGTAAAAGTAAGAGCAGTGGAAGAAGTAGAAGTATCTAGACTAGGAAAGTTAAATAAATTGATAAAAGAATCCAATAGAGTTTAGTTGTTATCATTCAATCATTCAATGTAGAGTCGTTTACAATTGCTCAAGTTGGATTTAGCAACTCCACGACACGTCGCCATATGTTTCCGAATTTAACGACGAAAAGATATACTTGTATCCATGCAAAACTAGACTTACTAACCTGCTATATGTACAGGTATACATTCCCATGCTATCTGTCATACCTGGTTACTGACTAAGTTTATTTTTTCATCAACGCATTGAGATTTTCACTTATTTGTTCATATTTAGGTTGCGAGGGAACGTTTAACAGTTATATTAGAGAGTTCAATGTGACGCAGTGGAACTGGGAACAACTCCACTGCGAGTGGCGGATATATAACCCTGGACTCACCAACCCTGTTCTGTACCTCAGTGGAATCGACGTGCGGATACAATCTTGCGAGTGAGAGACTAGTTATTGCTATCCTTCGTCCTCCGTTCCACCTCCTTTAGGCGATAAAGAAATCTCATTAGAAACTTTTTCAAGTGCGGGTCTTCGTTACGTGGAGCTTAGGCTGATTTCTCGAAAAGGAGCTGGGCATGGGTATCGAACCGAATGACAAACTTCTGATGGCTTTTGAAGTGCTTTCAATTCTTTTTATTAATTAAAACGAGTCTACTACACATTGCTGCTACTATTTTCATATATGGTATTTTCACCTTAAATCTTAAATGAACTTAAACTTATTTCTGTCATTATTTCTATTTTCGGTGTCGTCTTTTTCGTTCTTGCCATCTTTTTTTTTTAAGCATTCTCTCTGTATACTTTGTGGTCCTTCATGAACCACTGTATAAGTTACCAAGCTCTCTTGCCGTTCTCTTGCCACAGGGGTTATACAAAGGTTTTCAAGAGTGACGGTTCTGAGATCTTTAATTACGATGGGTGTTCACATGCTCTTGGAGACGTAGGACAAGTACCATTTGATGGATCCAGCTATCTGACCCTCGTATTTCACACGAATCATGAGTGGAGCTATGCGAGATCGCAATTCGCCATTTTAGAACAAGACGAATATCTTTATTCAGGTAACTTCGCCATTAAATTCTCGTCACATATCCATCTTTTGTCATGGTTTAAGTCTTTGAGATAAAAGTGTTATTGCTCTTCCATTTGAATGGATCATATTTAATCTTATCGATCTGAGACCAGTCTTCTTGTGAGAAATTTTAACTGATAAGTGAAACTTGTGAGAAATTTCAAATAAGTGAAACATGAAACAAGTTATGAATTTTAGACTGTCATCGTACTTCTTCAATTATTCCAAATGGGCCTGAGACCTACATATACATGTATGATACGAAGATAGATAGATAGATAGAGATAGACAGATAGATAGATAGACAGATAGATAGATAGATAGATAGATAGGTAGATAGATAGATAGA